TTTTTCGGTAGTGGACCAATTTGTTAACATGCCGCCGAGCCATTTTTTATTAACATAATGACACCGAGCCCGTATTGCAGCCCGCGACACTAAATCAGCTGCTTTATTTTTTGTCCCAACAATTAAGAATTGTTTTCCCCTACTTGCCGCATCAAAAACTAAATCACAAGCTTCTGATAAAAAACGAGCAGTTCTAGTCAGATTTATAATATGAATACCTTTACGCTTTGCAGAAATATAAGGTGCCATTCTAGGATTCCATTTCCTCGTACCATGTCCAAAATGAACTCCTGCTCTCATCATCTCTTCCAAATCGATGTTCCAATATCTTTTTGTCATTTCTTTTCACACTTAAAAAGGGGGGCACCCCAAACTAAAATAAAATTTTGTTCCGATGGAACCTTCTCTTGTACCGGGGATGGCCATTTATGCATGAACCAAGCCATTATTTTGTATTGATTATTATCTTTATTAGTGTTAACAAATTACGAAAGCAAATGACTACAGCAAACAACAAAAACTAAAATTTTAAATAGTCCGCTATTAGAAATCATTAAATCCTAGAAAAGTCAGATTTGGAAATAGAAGAGTCACAAAATTCCCTGTGGTAGAATAAAATATCTCTCATATCTCCCTCGAATAAAGCTAAATTCTTTGTTTTTTTTTCCAAAATAATGTTGGTATGTTGCCGTGAACAATGCACCAATCCTTTGTTGAATCCGGTCCCGGCGGGGATCACCCCCCCTAGAACAACATTTTCTTTCAGGCCTTTCAACCAATCGATACGACCCCGAAGAGCAGCTTTTGCTAAAACTCGAGCAGTTTCTTGAAAACTTGCTTCGGATATAAAACTTTGAGTATTCAAAGATGCTCGAGTTATTCCTAATAAAACGGCTCGATAACAGATTGCTTCTTCTAAAGCACGCCCCGTTCGTTCTGCTCGTAATAATCCAATAAGTTCTCCAGGTAAAAAAACATTAGACATTCCCTCTTCGGAAACCAATACTTTTGATGTTATTTGACGCACAATAATTTCTATATGTCTATTATGAATGTGAACTCCCTGGGATCGATAAACTTTTTGAATTTGATTAACCAAAGAAATACGACTTTGCGCTATAGTTAGCTCAGCACTAATGAAGAATCCCCAAGGAATGCCAAGAATTCTTGTTATACGCCCATTCCAAGTATCCACTCTCTTTTCTAGGTTTATGGATATTGAATCAATCGAACGAACTTCTAATACCTGTTCTACTTTTGGAAGACCTTGTGTTATATCACCTGATCTCGATTTTTGATATATAAATGTAACTAATATATCTCCTTCAGAAAGTATTTCTCCATAATGACCATGAACAGTTGTTCCAGGAGTCGCCAAATAAGGGTTAGCCGATCTTATTCCTACAGAATCCATTTGAACAGTTAGAATTTGACCCGATTTAAGGTGTGGTTCATTTTTCGTTTGAACTATACATACATTTTCGCAAATAAATTGACCAAGACTTATTATGGGAAACGTTTTTTTTTCACAAGAATTCTGATGGAAAAAATGCCAATTCAAATAGAATGGATTTAAAAGGATGTTACTAGATAGATCAGATTTATAAATTATCTCGTTTTCGTCTATTAAATAATATTTTAATACTTGAAAAGTTTTTTTTAATTTGTCAAGTTGCCAATTTTTATTTATCGAGATCTGATTTTGAGTAATTAAAAGGTAAAAATAAAAATTGGCAACTTGAAGGGCTATTCCTAAAGCCTAACGAATTTTGAATTGGATTCATTTCTTCTTTTATCCCATTGTAATATTTTCCATCGTGGAATGATCGTATTTGAAAACAATTCGATGATGACAAAATTATCAAAGATCGGCATTTCTCATTTCTATTCAACAACATATGAATAGTTCCATGATTTTGACTAAGTGATTGTTGAACTTTTTCCCTCGGATCCATAGAAAAAAATGGATTGATGTTGGTCCAGTCCAACTCATTATCCAAGATAAATCTTGAACCGAGCGGATCTTTCCTTTTTCTTATATATGAAATATGGGATTTTACTAAGTCCATTTTTAAGAAATATCTAACCAAACCTTTTATACTTAGTTCAACAAAAGAAGCATGCCCTTTTTCGATAGAATCCAATTTTTTGTCTTCATCCCAATTTAAGACTAAACAAGTCCGAACTAATTGAATACTTGTGTCAGAAATTCCTCGAGTTGGTTTGCCATTTCCATAAAGGATATAGTTGAAAACTCGAAGTTGAATATTATCCTTTTCCCGAAAGAGATCTTGTGGGAAGAGTGTTGCCAAATTTATACTGTCCGCTATCTCATAGGTGGCTACGGGCCGCACCAAAACAAAAAACTTTTTCTTGGTTGGTGTAATCCGTTGGACATAAATCCAATTTTTAAATTTTTTGGATTCCTTCGAGTTTTTTTTTCCTCTTCCTGGCGGTATCAAGATGCCACTGTGTCGGGATATTTTATCTGTCTTGTCCGGAAAATGGATATCCCCTGAAAATATTTTGAGTTCAATCCTTTTTTTTTTTTTCTCTACTCGGATCAACCCGCCGACTTGGCTTCTTATATTTAAAGTGAGTCGTGTATCCACTCCAATGATACTATAGTTCTGTACCATTATGGCAGAGGATTCGGGTAAAATATGCACTTCCTCAGGAATGAAAAAAAAGCGATCTACTTTCATTTCGTATTTTGTCTTAATTTTTTGGACTCCTCGATACTCAATCATATCCTCTTTTTGGATGATTGAATCCGCCTTTAGAGTCCCATATTTAAGAATTCCGGAACTCTTTCTTCGGTATCTAGGATCATCAAAAAAAGCAAAAATACTATTTCTACGGAAAATACCATTTATGGGTATTTCAACCGAGATACCTGACTGCGGTATGAATTCTTTCTCTTGCTCTTGAATCGATTGGAATGGAATGAGAAATCTATTTCTTCGTCTTTTTGCTAATAAATCCGAGTTCTCATGAAAAATAGCAGAATATATTAAATTATAATGACTAGTACCTAAGTTTCCATTCAATTCTGAATAATCGTAAATCCCTAATTTTTTTGGATCGGCAAAATCGGAACTAAAAAATTTTTGGCTCACTTGATCATTATTCACTGAGAGGCTAGAAATAGATTTTCTTTCGGCGGAAAGAAAGGGTATATTCATTTGATCTTGATCTTTATGGATCGAAAAACGAATTAGACTAGATCCACATGAACCTCCGGATAATATCCATAAATGACTTGTTTTTGGTAAGAGGTGGACATTACTATATGTAAATTCGGGTGCATGGGACACATCAGTACTCCAGTGCATTTCGCCCTCT